TTTTCAAGATAAATTTGTGTTCATGATAGGGATGCCGACGCTATGAGTTTAGAACATCGTTTATACCATGATTGATATCATATGTTTTACACTTGGAAATAGTCCAACAACTTTCGAATTGTAAATTCCATAACTTACCCAAAATGTTTAAAATAAAATAAAACATATATCATCAAATTTAATATAAAAAAATAAAAAAAAAAAAAACTAAAAAAAAAAAAAATATATATATATATATATATATACACCCTTGAAGTCTCACTACTCATCTAATTACTTCATACAAGCATGAAAGTTTCCCTAGCAGAAGAAAAGACACAAAATACACCTAAGAACATATACAGGAACAGCTTTAAACAGAAATTAAAGAATCACTTACTTCTCCTAACGCCAAGTTGATCGAGAAAAGGCTCAGATTGCCTAACCAAACATGCCAAAAGTTCTGTCACATCCAAAGGAGGTACTGCCTATATCATGTATACAGAAGAGAAAATTAGAATACCACATTACGTACTTAATTCCAGTTAAATTGGTTTTATGTTATGTCTATATAATAATTCATATATTCTGAAATGAAACAGGCACAGCCAAACTAGTTCACAAGGAGCATCATCAAAATCCAGGCCACTGGTTTTCCTCGGAGAGTCTTATAATAAATGACACCCAATCTAAGTCTAGTATTCTCTTGCTAACATGTCTAGACACCCTTGCCCAATATGTAGAGTTTCTGGAATACGGACTCCACAGTTTGCAAGAACAACAAATCTTAGCATCTCATCTTTCTTGGTTAAGTTTTGGAAACTTAACATTCTTTGTTGGAACTGTACTAACCCATCATTTCTCTTATTTGGTTACACTTAGAACCGTGTTACAGAAATTAACAAGCTTTGTCGTGAGTTCAATGGAAGAAAAAGGACAGCTCCAAGAGAAAGGAGAGGACTAGGAAGGCTTGGGCATCAAGGCTATATATGATTTCTTTTATACATGTAAAGAATTTTTTGCAAAAACTAAGTGTTGAATAAACAAATATACACAAAATTTACAGATGTCACCAAATGTTTCTTTTATTTACCCAACTTATACAACCACCTTTGAACAAATCAAAGAACAAAAATTCCTCTGGAGGCTCATGACAGTGATGGATTAAATAGTGTGCCTAATTATGCCAAAAATGAGTTCTGTACGGTAACACATTACAACAAAAGATTCCAACAAAAAAAGACACATGATACACAGGTTTCCAATCAACAGAAAACACAGGACAACAGAAGCAAAATATGCCGAATGTATACCAACCTTTGACTCCTCACGCTCCTTGTAAATTGACTTCTGAAAACAGCAGGAAACAAAATTAGTTGTAAAAATATGCATGCACTTGTCATTACCACTCCTCATGAAACAAACATTGATCAAGGATAGCAAAAACTGGGAAATTTAAAATGTAAACTGCGGTAAAAACAACTGTGATATAGTGATATTTATGGGTAAATATATAATGTTTTATTCACCAAAAAGAATGCTCCTTTCAGAAAACAAACATCATATGATTTGGTTGGCATCACTATGCACCTCATCATTGAATAAAATAACAATTTGCTTGTTAAAAGGGAGGATTGCCTCACACTAGACGCTCAGACTTTAGCTTTTACACCCAACGATATAGTCATAGGCACATATCAAGTTTTAACTAATCTAGTATTCCATTTGGTGCACAGGTTGTGGTTTCGAATGATATTGGGCTCCCAACATCTATGCATAACGCAGAACTACCATAAGCCTAATATTGATTAGCATAGCATAGCTCAAAGTAGTTGATCAAAAACCCGCTTACTGTTAACTGCAAAACTCTCTCCAATGATTTCAGAACCTTAGCTGAAGGATTTTGTTCTATACCTTCTTATGACCAAAGGATCACAAAAAATAAGAAACCTTTTGTATTTTCAACTCTAACTTGTTTATTCATATTTAGTGCAGGAGACCTTAGTAACGCCGTAGTGTCTCAATGTCCTTTACCCTGATTTAAATTAGGCTACCCGATAAACTCACAAAGATATCGACAAGGAAAATAAGAACACAACTATCAAGTTTAGAGCCTCATAGTTTCTTTTACTTCTGTTTTCATTTCACATGCCAAAAACACAACAGCCACCAATATCTATCACTAATACCTACTTCCACATGAAATCTAACAAGTCATTCCAATTTAACCACAGGCAAGATTCAATTTTTGTTTTTGGTACATGTAGCCAATCAAAATGCAAAGTTAACAAATTCAATTGCTATGAAAACTCAAAGCCGAAAGCAACAAATTATGAAATGAAGGTAGAGAGAACATACCAAGCTGGACTTGAATTTCTCCACAAACTCACTGTTCTTAAATCCACCGAGAAATTCCCGCTTTTCGAACTCTTTCAATCGAGTCTTCAACGCCCGAATTGGTTCCCAGTCCTTAATGGATTGTCTCTCCTCATCCTCCCCCTCACCCTCTCCCTTCCACTCGCCCCAAAACTCACTGAACTTCAATGGCCTTCCCCTAATACCCCTATTAAATTCCATAACCCCATCCCTGTCCTCCACCTCCGACACCAGCGCATTCTTTATCGCCGACAAATTGATCCGGATCCTCGACCTGGGGCTCCACTTCTCCAGAACCTTCTTGCTGAAGTCCGGCGACGAGTACACCCTCCGAAACTCCGACAGCTTCGGCTTCAGCTTCTTGACGAAGTCAATCTCTGCCGGCGGCGACGCCGACGACCGAATCCCCGCCGAGGACGCGGAGTTAAACTTGAACAGGTTCTCGAGCTCGCGGTCGAACGACGTCGCTAGGTTCTTGAACTCGTTGGCCCGGTGCTTCATCAATTGGAGATCCGCATCGGCCGAGTCCTTCACTTCCCTCCACCCTTTCGATATGAAGGAGAAGGCGTTGGAGGAGGTCGAAGCTTGGCCTTCGCTTCCCATGGCGGAGGAGCTAGGGTTTTGACTGAGAGCAAACGAATTGAATTTTCCAGGGTTCCGAATCGGATTTCGGGAATCTTCGGTATCGGATTTCGGATTTCGGGAAGCTTGCAGATATAAAGAAACAAACAGAGACGAGCTGTGGGTGGGTTGAGAATTTAACGGTTGGTATTTTCGGGGCTTTCTTTTTCCGGAACCTTGCTGGTACACGTGTACTTTCCAAGTCGGATTTTTCACGTGATGATACTGTTATGGGATGATGACGTGGAGAGAAGGCACGTGATAGGATGAGGTGGCGATCTGTGAACCGTGCGATGGCGGATTGGGTTCCTGATAAGAATATTCTGGAGGGAAAGAATGCGCTGGACGCTGGTGATTGACGGTTGAGATTTTCGCGCACCGTGATTCGTCTTTAACGTGATTAGGTAAACGTGGCTGGACGTGATTGGGGGGGGAGGGGGGAGAACAGAGAACATTGGCTCGGTGGCCTAATTTCCTGTCCCGCCGTTTCCGTCTCTGTTCTGCACCGTTGCTTGTCAAAAGAAAAGAAAATGTCAGTTGATTGTTCAATTGAAAGCTACGATATATTTCGTCCTTTTAATCCATGTGGCTTTGACAATTTCAAATGTGTTGCGTGGCATGCTCAGAAACGAGAAGGCTTTGTATAATACGGATTCATCGTCACGTGACGTCTTATGCCAATAATATAGAAACATGCATGTATTAATTTTCTACATATTATTGTATTATTGATACGAAACGCTATTGTAACAGTAAACTCATGCTATACATACAAGTTCTCCCTTGTAAATCTTGACCTTGTTATTCACCGTGTATGTCATTGTCTATATGCTTTTTGAGAGACGAACGCAACATGTTACGACACCTGCGGACCGCATCTTGCGACGCTGGCGTGTCTGTGCAACCAGCGACACTGACTTGTCCTTCTGGACCTACCTAATCGATTTCTATTGCAGCTATTGCACTCTCCACCTTCTACTCCAATAAACCGATATCCAACATACACTCCCTCCAATTTCAATTATTATCCCCAACATTACACCGTGTTATGTGAATGAGCTTGTTCCTCCTATACGAGTTCACTCTTCATCCCAGCAACCACGACGTTTGCACCCTCAATCGAACATTACTCTTTTGAATTTTCAGTTGGCAATATCCAATGAGAGTGTGACCTTGGAATTTTGGATGTTTGCATTTTCCAAGAGACCTAAGATCATTGACCACATGAACTATCCTCTTCGAACTGACAACAATGGGAGCATCGTGACAAAGGCGGGGGCCAAACATTCCAGGCTTCACAATCTTTTTCGACGGGACATCTCAATGTTGTCAGGGAATTGCACTGAGCTCTCAACTCCAATGACAAGAACCTTAGCTTCAGGAATGACCATCTCGTTGCCAATTCGAACAGCCTCACGAATGAATTAGCACTATACCGTTCTCTTGGGGGTTAATCACTGAACATGACATAGTCCCCAAATTGATTGTTTCTGACCTTTTACTGCATGATAATGTTTGGTGGGTGAATTCATGTTGTAAGAACAGATTCGAGAAGGTCAAGGTCTAGCTAAGCCACTTCCAACGCCATTTTTCAGAAAAGTAATGAGAAAGGGTTAAGTCTGTATACCTCCAAGCAGCTAGCAGGCTTATTGATTACGATATGCCTGAGAAATAACCACCAGCATCAGATATTATGCGATTACTAGAATGTTGGCTTGCAATCATCTGCGTTTAAAGATGGAAGCGATTGAGATAGTAGTTACAGCTTTGATTCAACGTTGTTCGGGTGTCATGAGCAGAATTCAAGCTTGTAATACAGAAGTAGAATATGGACATACTGAATTCCAAGGCTGTATCATGTTGGAAAACCATATGTCATGACTTGGCTAATGCGGAAGGAATTCATGATCTTGAACTCAATTATAAAGATGTAATGACTTCTACACTTTGAGTTGTATCATGTTCTTGCAACTGTTGTTTCAATGTCCGTGGAGTTGACTACCCCAACAGCAATAGCAGTTTTATTTGTGTGGTTAGAAGTGGGTCAATGTCTCATCTCTCTAAATATCTGACACTATCTTGTAGCATAAGATATACAACTTCGAAATGTAAAAAACAAAATTGTAAAATGTCCATTTCAAAGTACTTTGCATTGAAGATGCTCTTAACGAGAACCAAATGCTCTTAATAATCTTAAATAGAAACTTAAACCTTTATTTTTTTGTCAAGGATACTTATAAAACGTATATTTTTATTAATATCACATCTAAAAGCATAAACGCGCATACTCATATTATAACACGTGAATTAGTAACATTGTGAAAAACACGCGGACCAGCAACATCATTCCATACTACAGCAACCTAACCCTGATGTCATCAAACCTCAAATAAACTTCACTTTCAAGCGACGATTTTTGGACTAAACTGGTTACAACCACACCACAATGTATTCTCTCTCTCTCTGCTAAAACAATATTCACTAAGAATCTACCTACTCACTAACAAAATACTTAAGCCTTCAAAAACCAAGAATTTGGTAAATGTCAAGGATCACTTATCTGAACCTTTCGTTTTGCTTCTCCATAGGCAACTACCCCCATAACAGCTACCATGTATCCGCCAATGCCGGTAACAGTCACAGGGTTCTTCAATAAAAGAATTGAGATAACAACAGCGACAGCGCCTTTTGCATTGCGTAATACCTGATCGTAACATAATTTCCATCAAAGAAATTATATGAGAGTTCGAGAACAAGAGATAAAATTAAAAAACATGTTCACCTACAAAAAAGGCTTGAATAGTTCAATGATTATGTACAGATACAGTTGCCACTCGAGTGGCCTTTTATACTTTAGGCTTACACTTACAGTCATAGCTAGCTTCGATCCGCAGCAGTTTAATCAATGTTTTGATCCTATGCCCAGTAGAGTTGATAGTTTAGCGGTGTACGATCACACTACGAGTTGGATTTTGGGTTTTGATTACTGGGTTTTGGGGTAGACAGTGTTTTTCTACAATATTAAGTATAGAATTTCTAATTTAGTGGATTTTTTGTGACGATGTCCCATGAAGGAGTAGCTTCTAGGGCGAATGCTTGCATTCTTTTCAAAAACGAGGAATCTGGTCCTAATTCATAAATTGAGCAATGTTCTTATGCTGCTAGACTGTCAATTGAGACCATGCAATCAAGAGAAACGAAAAACCAACCTGATGGTGTGGTGTGTGTTGGTTTCTATACACTAACAATCAACATATTAATTCGAGAAATAATTAGATAAGGCAATATGAATTAGGAAAATCAAGGTGAAAGAAGTACAAACCTGAAGCGTTAATGCACTTGTATGTTTGGTCACCAAAAAATTTGACAAATTAGCAGATTGTGCCATTACTGAATTAAACAAAAGAAGTGTACAGCAGCAAATTCATTGAGTTCAACTTCTCCCTGGTAAGTATAAGACATATAAGCAGAACAAGTAGTAAGAAAACGCAGAGCAAGAAAAGAGTGATTTAATTTGGCTTGAGATAAAGATGGAACTGAACCGGAGAAACCTACAAATTGAACATAATCACAACTATTTGGAAAAATTATAGTTTTGATTGCAGAATGTCCATTGTTTGCCAATCAAATAAAGCAAGGGGAGCATAATTAACTAACCACATGAATTTTTGCATGACCAATTAACCTGAAACGAATGAAAAGAAAAAATGAAACTGATAACATCTTAATTTGAACAGACATTTCAAACAGATCTACGTGAACTTGAACTGAATTTGTGGGAAAACATCATAATTATGATTTGCGCACTTCTTCCAAGAAAGATGAAAGGCATGAATTCTGCGTATGTATTATTGCATGAGGATACAAGAGGAGGATTCTCTATCCTCCTATTCCCATCTCCTTCCATCCCCTCCTCTCACACATTGCTTTTTGTCTTATTATCTGTATAAAAAAATCAATATAAGATGTTGACGTGATTTAACCGTGACCGTTTAAATAGGAGGGCATGAAAGGGTAGAGAGATTAGGAGGGTAGAGAATCCTCATCCGAGGATACAAACCGTCATTTTGTTCATTGCTTTTCCGTTTCTTTGGTTGTTTAAGCCATCATATCATTTAGTTAATTAGAAGCTTTATTATTAATTTGTTTAAGATCACGGGATTTACGCGGCAAAGTCAAAGATTAAGACTAATCAAGTAGTTGAACGTGGCCACCATTCCTATACATCCTCAGAGGAGACACCGGCAGCCAAAAGAAAAATGTGGGGGACAAGTCGTGTCCAGCAGTATGTAGTGGTTCTTCTTCTCTGGTTACACACTATACTGTTCTGATTCCATACTATACTGTTCTGATCAAACACTGAGGTGCGTGCGTGGTACCTTAGCCACCGTCGTAAGTTCTCACCACAATTATCGTTAAATACGTGGCCCCGTCTCTAAACCCTAATTCCAGGGTTACCACAGTTTTTATTGACATTTTAACTAATCTTCTTTAATTTGCTTTTGACATTTCCCTAATTATTGAATACAAACGGTATTTCTGCTCTCATCTATATTAAGGAGAGGCAAGAGAGACTGAACTCGGAACAGAGTGGGTTGAAGATGAATGCTCAAACTAACATAGCAATCTACCACTTTTCCAACTTTAATTCATTCTTCTTCCAATTTTTACTTTTGCCATTCACATATACATTCGTGTTCATTAATTAATTTCATAAGAAAATTAACAGAATTAATTTGGTGGTTTACACACTATTATTAAACTTGTCAATATTTTGACAGTTCGTCTCAGACCTCAGATTTCTTAATGTAATTAAGTACTCTATAATTTCTTCTTCTTCTTTTTTTTTTTTTTTTTGGATGTTATATTGTGAGTTCAAGTGAAATTCTTCAAACTTGTGTACACGTAATATTCTTGGATATTTTTCGTGAGTCATTGATTCATCTATGGATTATGATTTGGCAGTTAGTGAATGTGCAATCAACATTGTCGAGACAAATCTAGCAAAAATGTATATACAAAATTATAAGTATCATGTGCAAACATTATTTCAACAAGTATAATTTTATACAAAACTTGGACCATTTAAATTAGACAGAAAAATCGATTAAATGGCCTGGATGGACAGATGTTTCTAAATTAAAAACCAAATATTTTTCAAGTTATGCGTACGTGAATGTGTTTCTATATATATGGAGAAGAATATTAACCAATAACCATGCAAGATTCTTGTACTAGATCAATGGCGGAGTTAGGAATTTTTCACTGGGGTGGGCTAGCTTAAAGATTTAAATTTTTATAAACAAAGAAATTTGATACTGTATTTTTCACAGTCTCAGCTAGCTTAAGAATTTTTTCACAATGTGAGCCAAGAGTTTTCGTTATTAAACAAATATGTGTTTAGATTGAAACTTGTACATGTACAAGCGCTAAGAAAAGAGATGTAAGAACAAGAGATGGTTTGTAAACTGTATTATATAATTTTAAATATTTAAACTGAGAGAATTTGGATCAATGACTAAATATATAGTGGGTTACATTTGAAAATCTATAAAAATTACATGTAAAATTTTATTTTTCACCAAAAGCTACATGGGTTATAGCCCAGGGTAGCCCTTAACGTGGCTCTGCCAGTGTACTAGATTAAGCATCAAATAATGGGGAGACATCTTGCAAGTGGCAAGTGGCAAGTGGCTAGTGGCTTGTAACTCAGTTAATTACTTTTCACATTTGCACCTGAGGTATTGTGCTCGTATCTCCCTCCATGTAAATATCATATGTATTGTTTTAGTAAAAAAAAACAATAATAATAGGGGAGACATTACATAATAGGGAGTTTTAATGAAAAACTCACGGTACTGTTCACTTTAACGAAAAACCACATTTTTATACTAAAAAGTCAAACCTGATACTATTCACTTTACCCTTTATTTTGTCCTTATTGTTAAAACTCAAAGTTTTCAAGCCCTTTTCATTAGTTTTCCTATTGCCGTTAATACTTGCATTATATAATTTGGGATACTGGAATTAAATTTTATTTATGGTCAAATTTACAATTTAATAGGACAACTTTTTCAAAGGAAAAAAAAAATCAACACCTATATCACACATATATAAGAACTTCCAAATCCCGATCATCCACATGCATTCAGAAGAGTCACTCATTGAACACTATTACTAATCCCACATGGCTACAAGTGCCTAATAATATAATTGCATATAGTTATCAAGTTTTCCACCTCATACCTTAATCTTTCAGTTTTGTTTGTGAATTTGACTAGCTATTATCCCATTTAATTGCTTCATTTAATAGTTACCCCATTTCGACGATTTCTTATATACTGTCGCCATTTTTTTTTTCTGGTATCCAGGAATTTGGGAGGAGCAAATGTACAAGAACTTTTTTTTTTGACACAATGACATTGTGAGGTAGAGATTTAAGTTTAGTTGCACGGTAAATCAGTCATAACATTATACGTGTCAATAAACCATCAATTACTTTCTTTTACAGCTTTGAGCACAATAAGCAAGTTTTTGCAATGACTTTATCCATTTGGCATTTGCAATGACACTAAAATTAAAATCTCCTACAGAAAATGAAATTAAAAAATTAAAAGCTAAAAAGGTTGCTTGTACGAGACAGAAGCTGTGGAGAAGCTTCTAATCTTTAACCATTTCTAATTTTCTATCATACAAAATCCAGGTCACGGAATGAGAAGCAGCCATGCATGCATATGGGATCGGTCTCAGTCCAAGTCCACCACAAAATGTTCGCGACAAAATTCATTAAGCATGAATAAAACTATTTATCTTAATATTTTGTTTGATAGGTTTGATTATTAATTTCATATATTAAAGTGTAATTATGCCCTAACGGCCTCAACCAACCATAAATTCTGTTCCGATCTCGTCGTACTCCATTTCATAATATGATTTGAGATTTTTTTTTTCCCGGCAAAATCTTCATGTAATATGAAGTTTAAAAGATTTATTGATTTATATAATTTTACGATTTTCGATGAGCTCGTCTTTTAACAAGTGTTTGAAATCTATTCATTCTTTTATTATTAGCGATACTTTATAATACTATTTTTAGATCTAATTTACAAAGAATCTTTTGAGACCGAATTTTTCGTGATATATACACTTGTAATGACATTTTGTACTTTCAATGAATGAAATCGTTCTTCTTTTTTTTTTTTTTTTAACTCGTTAACGTCCACGGATGGGGAGCCACCTTGGGCCCAGGGGCGGATGACCCACTTAGTTTTCTTTGTGAAAAAAAATGCACATAATGTATAGCAATCCCATGTGATAAGAGTATTTTCGGCTATGAAATATTTGAGAAATTGGATAGAAAAATAATAGATGAATGATAATATGGTTATCTTTATATAAAGAGATGTTTGATGGTATTGGTAATAATTTCCATGAAACGATTTCAAAACATGAAAATGAATTGAGGGGTATTGTAGCATGTTGTAGAAAAACCGTATGGATTAATATATAAGTGTTTTGTTTAGTAAATTATTGAGTTTTTCAATTTGTGACGTTGTTGTTTGAGTTCAATATTATTTATTGGGGCAGATTTGACGTAGCATGTTGTGGTTGAGTTCTTTTTTTCTAAATATAAGATTTTGGCATCGAATAAGTTAACTATAATTAAGCATCAAACTTGTCATCAATAAAAATCAACAAATAGCATCAAATGCAGGCATTATATACTATGTGAAAGGTTTTTGTAAAATATATAACTTGTTTTACAATCTAACAAATAGCATCAATCATGAACCGAAAAAATGATGTTCACACACCATTTTTCTCCTTTTACACAACTCTTGTTTATTTCTGCATCTTAATTTTCTATTAATTATTCATTTTAAACATAAAAAATAAACATAAACGTGCATGAAGAGAAAAGTAGCGTGAATACATCGTTTGCGTGAAACTATAAGCATTGAGCACATGTTCGAAGGACAATGACGCCCTTGGTAGTTGAAAAGGAAGGTGTGGTGCGCACCAAACGTCCATAAACAGTACGGATGAGACATGCATAATAACGAAACATTAATCCTAATTAAGACATGCATCCAACATTTCCAATCTTTCATATTTGATTCTGGGTGTCGAATATTTCTTATATAAATCCGCTTTTGGTGGTTGTAACTTGCTCTCAAAGCTGCTTTTGTATTTGTTCGAAAAAGCAAAAAAAATTAAAATAAAGCTTATAACTTTATGGTTTTTAATTACTGTTTAAATCAATATTTTCCAATAACTTGGAGTCTGTGACTGTACAAATCATCTTTTGTTTTGTTGGTCATGGTGTTCAACTAAATATCCGATTTATTTCGCTTTTTTTGTCAATTGGGTTCCGAGATTTCGCAAGGGCAGTCCACAAAACCGCCATTGATGCTCGCATGAAGCTTCTTCTCCACAGCTTTCCAGGTTTTCTTCAATGCTTCTTCTGAAGCTGCAGATCCGCCATGGAAAAACACCATAGTGCTGCTGCAGAACATGCTCTCTCACTCCTCCTCCTGCTTCTCTCACTAGCTTCACTTGCTCTGAGCGCCACAGACCCGAACGACCTTGCAATCCTCAACCAGCTGAGAAAAAATCTAGAAAACCCAGAGCTCTTGAAGTGGCCGGAAAATGGCGACGACCCATGTGGGGCCAGGTGGGCCCACGTCTTCTGCGCCGGTTCGAGAGTGTCCCAGATTCAGGTCCAGAACCTTGGCCTGAAGGGTCCTCTGCCCCTGAACTTCAACCAGCT